AAGATCCTTGTGTCGTATTTTGATGTAATAATGATCGCCTATTTCCAGAGAAATATACAGTGAAAGACCATATTTCTAATACTAAACTAGAAAAAGGCGATCATTATTACATCCAAACACGGCACAAGGATCTTTTTTCCCATTAGAATCTTATTCTAAGAAAACTTTAAGAAAAAATGTCCCGAAAAGCGCTCAAAAATAGAAACGAAACCTGCTCATGCCCCCTGGGCATCCTATAATACTCCTTAAATCGAATTAATTCAATATGGTCGCCCTATCGGTAGAAAGGTCTATTGAAATTCGTTTGAATGGTTCCATTAAAAAAATGATAAGTTATTTTCCCCTCTTCATTTTCTTTTCTCGACTAAGTTCTCTACTAAGCTTTCACAGAAACGCTCGCTATAACGCTGAATGTTCCGTAAATAAGGCTTCATTCGCCTACCTTAGCTACCATGCATGGGCAAGCCAACTTTTCCAACTTTTCCTTCCAAAACTTGGTGATTCTTTTACATGAGAAATAAAACGTTGGCTCGGCTAGAAGGGTGACCCGCCTTTTTCGACTCAGCCGGGTCATATCGGTCAAGGCGAAACAATCAGAGCATGCGCGAGCGTTGTTGTTAGCTGTTGGCTCTGGCAAACGGTCAACTTTTTTCTCATATAAACGCTCGCCAAAAGTGACTCGGTTGGGAGGATGATTCTCTTTCCCGGGAGACCTTAACTCAACGAGGACTAAGGACATTACTGTATCTCAGCTTCCATTTTCCACTAGCTTGGAGTCATATTACTTTTAATTTTTCCTTTGTTTTTTTTCGCTCAGATTGTCCAGTTGGCTGGTCTGCATATGGCGACTCGTGTTATTACCTAAACGGTACAGTGGCACAGAACCAGACAGACGCCCGCAAAGTATGCCAGGCAATGGATGGAGACCTCCCAATAATCAAATCAGTCACTGAAGACAAATTCGTATTTGAACTGATAAGAAACGGTGAAACAGTGACAACACTTGGTACCTGGCTTGGGTTAGAGCGAGATAAGAACAAAAGCAAGTCATTCCATTGGATTGATAACACTCCACTGGAAGGGGGCTTTAACAATTGGTTTTACAAGGAACCGAACAACCAAGGCGGTAATGAAGACTGCGTCCATATGTATGGAAAGCGAGTTTGGAACTTTACGAGGCCAGGAAAGTGGAAGGACTACCCCTGTAGTTGTTATTATCAGCTTCGTCATTGCCCTGTTATACTTTGCCAGAAGCCTGCATACTAAGGCAGCCATGCGTAGCCATATTATTATTATTATTATTATTAATATTATTATTATTGTTATTGTTATTATTATTATTATTATTATTATTATTATTATTATTATTATTATTATCATGCGGAAGAAATTAAAGCTGCTTGTTTATATCCTTCTTACCGTGGTCGCCATCTTTGAATTTATAACAGGAGGAGATCGAGGAACTGATTCAACATGCGGTTACTCGAACATTGACGGGCAGGAAGAAAACGCTTGCCATACAGGCTTATACTTGGATAAAAATGTTATGTTGAGATTAAAAGCTGTACATAGCTGGTGCGGCTTTTTGACATTTGCGTTAGAGGTTCCCAATAACCATTTCTCTACTAATTTGTGCAAAACAAACAAATGAACATTCTAACTAAGGGAATGGGTGTGGCTGAGCTTTGTCGAGTTTGAGACCACGAAATTAGCTTATACCTTGCTAAGCGAAAGCCGATTAGCATTAATCCTGGGCTAGCCAGATTTTTTGACAACTTATGTCTCCTAGAAAGCTGTAACCAGGGCTCGGTTTTACTTAAGGACTTAGTTTTGTTAACCCATGATGATTTTTCAGCACGGATATAATAAAGTGAACGTAATCGCAGATTAAAATTTCTACTCTGGATTGAAGCTTATTGTTAAGGTTAGAAATTTCTTTCTTTCCTCGATTAACTGATTCGAGGTGTTAATAACAAAGCCAACTGTTATGTAGCCCAGTCTTGCCAGTACTTGCCTTCCGTATCACCCAGAAGGCAATCAAGTTATTGTCTTGTCATGCCTTTATGTTGACTTTGGCAGCTGTCGTTATGTAAACCATACTAAAAGGGAAATAAAATAATCAAGTACCATACCAAATATGGTTGTGGCTCCATAAAATGGTTCCTGAAGTCTAATATATACATTTAAACGAGAGATTAAAGGCATATTAGTTGAATATTTCTCCAAAAAGTTTAATTTACTAAATTACACCTTGGTTCGTAACATTGTGTTAGTTTTCTTTTCACATATTCTCAGTTATAGTAAGAAAAACCACGACAAATAATTAAGTTGTGTTATTTATTTCCTAGGGTTCGTGGCCGGTGTGACTGATGTACCTGTGTGATGTGAATGATTAACGCTTGCTGTAGAGAGAAGAAGAAAAATAAATATACTGCAGTTGGAAACGCCTTAACAAATTTATTCAAGAACCGAAGAAATTTTATTTTCCCATGTTTTCAGTCTAAATATAGTATTAGAAAGTAACTTCCGAGTAATGAACGCTCGAGAATTTCAAGATTTATTGTAATTATTGTAAAACTGTATGTTGTCGCAAAGCAGTGTATATAGCCTCATGTAAGGTAAATCGGATTCCGGAATCTGAGAAATTTTGACTGTGAAATTTGGAATCCTGGGCTTTGGAATCCGGAATCCCGCTGACAATTGAGATCCGGAGTCCAAGTTTCACTAAGATAGAATCGGGAATTCAGTACCTGAAATTCGGAATTCACCGTGTGGGGTCCAGAATCCAAGACTGTTTTCGATTACCTTATATAAGGCGAAAAGAAATGTTTTGCTTTTACCAGCCACAGTTGTTTAATTATTTTCAACCGTCCCTAGCTTAAAAAAAACATAGAAAAAAGAAAAGCGAAATTCTGGTTAATAATACGTGTGAACAAAAAAATTAAATCGTGTAATGCTAAACGGGGACGACAATGAAAATGGCTTCACGGCTAACAGATCTAATTAGCAAAAAAAAACAAATTGCACGTGCAGCACACTTTTTCTTCTAATTAGCAAAAAACAAATTTGCACGTGCAGCACGCTTTTTTGTCTTTCCCTTGCCGTTGTTTTGCAAGACCTACAACGCTGTTTTGTACGACTAAAACGTCAAACTTCCTAGTTACACATGTTTTTTATGGAGGAATTGTCGTATGTGCTTACCCAATATTTTGTTTCCTGTTTTCATGTTCGCTTTTATTTTTCACTGCCGCTCATTTTCACCTTGCTGGCCGCTAGCATTTCTCATTTACTCACCGCCGCTTTGAATTTCCATGTTTTTCTTCCTACGAAATTCGTCTCCTTTGTTTTCAATAACTCGCTCTAGCTCTTTCTCTTTTATCCACGTTAGTGTAAACATAAAAAATAACGCCGAAAAAGACACGACTTTGTTGTTGTTTTTTCTTTCTAAAAGTATGGGCGGCCATGTGATTTCCTTCCAAATAAAACCTTGAGTTCTATTTGGGTTGCCATACCTGTTGATTGAGTTATTTTACATTGGTCTGCCTGTGGTGCGGACGGTCGTTCGCTCTCTCGGTGTACGGTCACGTGATTACCAAAGTTTTTCGGATGGGTAGATTACCACATTTCCATAGCTATGAGGCTCTGCCCACGCGCGGTGCTTTGCACCGCGCGTGGAGCTCCGCTATGAATTTTCATTAAACGTTTTAATTCAACGAAATTATTAGTACAGTGTTATTTCAAGTAGTTGCAGCGGTCTTTCTTTGCTATGATAAACGTTTGCTAAAAATGTTAATATTCATTTTAAGATAAGTCAAACTTGTTGCTTACAGTGTATTTTATTAACTAGCGTTTGCCGTTGCAATTTGCTTAAGCTAACGACAGTTGCATGATTTAACCTCTACCACAAACTCTGAATCGAAATTCAAGTCAAATTCTATATATTGCAGAAGTGAATCTTAACCGACTTTTGGCGCCTTTTTTGATAATGTTCAGCTAATTTAGATCCACTAGGTTGTTTGATTAGCTCTGTAAATATTTGTATTACAAATATTCCCGTGCAAGTATTTGGAGAGTGTATTAAGTAAATGTTTGGATTTTTGTAACTCAATGTCAAACTGACAAAAATGCTTAAAACATTGTGTTCCATGGAAGATTACATTTTGATCAAACCTAGAAATCATTGTAACCTTCTGGGATTTATCCACAATCCGGTTGGTAAGTGTACAGGCTGCTTATCATTTACAGACACTCGGTTAAATTCGAAATCTCATCGGACATCAGCCAACAATTGGCCTTATTGAACGCCTACAAAGTGTAGCCAGATCAGCCGTAGGTATTAATAATAATAATAATAATAATAATAATAATGTGGAGGGTAATAATGATAATAATAATAAGAAGAAGAAGAAGAAGAAGAAGAAAAGGATTCGAGAGAGAGACCATATTTTTTCTGAAGCGGATCGAGTAGTTTTCCCGCGTCTTAAATCAGGTAAGCACCCTTACTCCGATAGTTATACCTATGTATTTCATATCTGGCTTCATTCCCTCTGGCTATTTATGTTGTTAATACACACGTAGCGTTATCTATCACCTGTTCACTCTTACAACACCACCTACAGTTCCGAATTATCATTTGGTGTTGACTGTTTACCTTTGAATAACATTCTTTACAAATTTAATATCGTCCTTGACAGAGAACTGTAAACCTAGTTTGTAATTTTGTGATCTCGTATCATGATAACTTCTATTGCATCTTCCCGTGTTTTTGTAGTTTTGTCACCTGTAGTTCTTTTGTCTTTCTTTCTCTCTTTTATTGTCCTGAATTCGAATGAGTGATTGAAATAAAATACAAAGAAAGGTGTCAGTACAACTCCTTTTCATTTCAAATTGTTTACTGCCAAATACTGACTAAAGTATTTTCAATACCCGCTGAAACTTTTTATCGCGCATGCCCGTAAATAAACGACGGTAGTTTTGGCTATAGAAGTACGCGATAAAAAATGATTTGGTTGCTTGCTTTATCATTTTACATCGTTGCCACAGTTTTCGCTGCTGATGAATATTCCAGATCTTCTTACTTCAGAACGGTGGAAAACAAACGCTTAGCAACACAAGTGGCCAAAACATTTCATTCCCCTAGTGTTTTGTCGTGCAGTCATGCGTGCCTCAGAAATACTTGGTGTTCCTCTACAAATTTCAAGAAAGGGACAGGTGGCACAGGAGTATGTGAGTTGATTAAGCATGAGTCCAACTCAACTAACTATAACAACAAACTCATACATCAACCAGGCAACACATATGCAATAATTCTTAAGGTGAGTAAATGCAACATTTTATTTGCGCAATGCCGTGAGAGAAATTTTTTACTATTAAACTTTTTTCAGTGGCGTATCTAACGGAAAGGCAAGTCGAACAGTAATATTTATAAGCAGACAACAATTTGCTATACAATCCAAATAAAAGCTTAAACTTCCGCACGAGCTAGTGACATTTAACACGTAAACAGTTTTAACCGTTTCGATGCTGTGTGTTTATTACCAGAAAGCATGATTATGATTCTGAATGGCTGAGAAATAATCACAGTTAAGTTGAAACTCCGGCAATTTCTCCCCTAGAAGGGTACAAGCAATCGAGAAAACGATTTCCCTTCCTGCCATTTTTCTAAATTAAAACTTCTTTTACTGATAGGGTTGTCTGATGACTGGATGCCTAAATGGAGGTTCTTGCTTGTTAGACACGAAAAAGGAATCGTTTTCATGTTCGTGCAAACTACCATGGAGTGGGCAGAGATGCGAAGAAAAATTGAGTAAGCCTCTAGTACAAAGCGTTTGCACATATGTGTTTTTCTGTTTATTTATTCATTTATTCATTTTTTTTGTCATGAGAGAAAAGTCTTGATGTCCTTACTTCAAGCGTTTTAATGCTGGTTTCGTTTCTATCATTTGTTACTGAGCTCCCCGGTTGACCCGTTGGGGCAAATTCCTTAATTATGGCCTCTAATGGATATGCTGCTGGCTTGGATTTTTTTAATGGTCCTTCTGTCTTGAGCAGAGCATTAAACAATCGCGAGAAAGTTTTAAAATAACTCCAAAGCACTTTCAAAATAAATTACGTTTTCGCTAACGTCGCCTCCCTGATTCGTGAATCACAGGCGCCTTAAGAAGGCGAAATAACAGTTGTCATAACATTCTTCAGACGGCTAAATTGAAATTCGTCTGAACGGTTCCATTAAAAAATGGTAAGTTATTTTCCCTCTTCTTCTTCTTCTCTCGACTAAGTTTTCTACCAAGCTTTCACAGAAACGCTCGCTATAATACTGAATGGTCCGTAACTAAGGCTTCATTCGCCTACTTTAACTTGCTGATTCTTTTACATGAGAAATAAAACGTTGGCTCGGCTAGAAGGTTGACCCGCCTTTTTCGACCCAGCCGGGTCATATCGGTCAAGGCGAAACAATCAGAGCATGCGCGAGCGTTGTTGTCAGCTCTTGGCTCTGGCAAAGGGTCAACTTCTTTCTCATATAAACGCTCGCTAAAAGTGACTCGGTTGGGAGGATGATTCTCTTTCCCGGGAAAGCTTAACTCAACGAGGCATATGGACATTACTGTATCTCAGCTTCTATTTTCCATTGGCTTGGAGTCATATTACTTTTAATTATTCCTTTGTTTTTTTTTTTTCGCTCAGATTGTCCAGTTGGCTGGTCTACATATGGCGACTCGTGTTATTACCTAAACGGTACAGTGGCACAGAACCAGACAGACGCCCGCAAAGCATGCCAGGCAATGGATGGACACCTCCCAATAATCAAATCAGCAACCGAAGACAAATTCGTGTTTGAACTGATAAGAAACAGTGAAACAGTCACAACACTTGGTACCTGGCTTGGGTTAGAGAGAGATAAGAACAAAAGCAAGTCATTCCATTGGATTGATAGCTCTCCACTGGAAGGAGGGTTTAAGAACTGGTTTTACAACGAACCGAACAACCAAGGCGGTAATGAAGACTGCGTCCATATGTATGGAAAGCGAGCTGGCAACAGTACGAGGCCAGGAAAGTGGAATGACTACCCCTGTAGTTGTTATAATAAGCTTCAAAATTG